AACGAGACAGCAGTCACAGTGAGGGGTGGATAATATGTTAGAAGGAGAACTTGGCTGAGGGACAGGAGACCTGGGTTCTGAAACAGTTTAGGGAAACTCCAGGAAGCTTGGAGTTGCTGCTAAAAAATATTAAGCAAAATTGTGCCATGACTTTCGCTCTCTTCTCCCCAAATGCCTTTCAGTCATTCATTCAACAATTATTTATTGAGTTTCTACTATGCATCAAAACATCCATTGAAAAGGGAGGCAGGTGAATCAAATGGCTTCTTCCCAATCTAAAATTATGCAAAATAGTTTATTTTAGTTGGCCTTGAAAACTTTGGATGTCTGCTAAGATGAGGAATGATGGACAAGGATTTTCTACTCACTTCTCAAAGATCTTGTGAATTTTCCAAATGTGAAGGTCATAAGAACCTGAAGCAGGTGGCAGGTGGTAAATCCTGTCCTCCTCACTCCCAGCATGGGTGTGTCAGAGGTTCTGGGTTCTTTATAATTCACCTGACAGAGTCAAATAAATTTTACTTCCTTCCCAGTGAGTTTTATTTTCTTGCTCTGAAAGCAAATGGGTCTGCTGCAGGGATTGGTCCCCAGGAGATTTCGAGAAAAGCCCAGGTGGCACCTGCCCAAGTCCTTTCTTACAGACCTGTTCCTCTCTTCCCTCCCGGCTTCCTCCTTGGGAAGGTTTGAGATCTTTCCCCTTTCAGGAACTATGGCCTCTGTCCTAGAAGAGCTCTCTGCTTAAGGAGAGAAGGAGGTGTTGTAGAATCCTATTTATATTTGGGTAGTGTGAGAAAGAGCACCCCAAAACTTAGCTGGATCCAAGGAGACAGCACTCACTGGGGACAGCGCTTGATTTAATCCTTAAAATGTAAATGACTTATGCAAGTGAACAAGCTGTGGATTAGCACCCAAGACAGATGGAACAGCATGGACAAAGGCCCTGGGGTGAGAGGCGGTGGTGTGTTTGGAGGAGCAGTGTGGAATGAGGCCAGATACATGGGACAGGGCAGCACTTGATGAAGCTGGAAACCCTGGCTGGGATGAACACCAGGAAGCTTGGAGTTGAAAAATATTAAGCAAAGCTGTGGTGTGATCTTTCCTCTCTTTTCTCCAAATTTCTTGCTGCCATCAACCAGCCTCCTGTGTACCAAGGCGCTCTGTCATCTGCTTCCCATCAGACCTCAGCATCCTCATTCCCATCCCAGGGGAATTCCATCCTCTTGCTTCCTTGGTTGTGTTTCAAGAGAATTCACTAATTCAATCTGATCATGGCTGGTCTCTGATTAACAGACTTCCTTATCTTAAACATTCCAAGCCTTTAGACAAGGCTTCATTTATTTAACCAACTACAAATCAGAGAATCTTTAAACTCACCTATAACTTGTAAGCTCCCACTTTGCGACCCTGCTTTTCTGGCAAGCCAATGTACATATTCCACGTATTGATTTATGACCTTATGTATAATTCCTGTCTCCCTGAAATGTATAACACCAAACTGTCACCCAGCCATAGCAAGTCCACTTGCTCAAGGCCTCCTGGCTGTGGTCCTCAAACTTCGCTCAGAATAAACCTTTTTAAATGATTTTACAGAGTTTGGGTTATTTTCTTTGATGCACCTCAATCCAACCACCTGGAGCTCTTTCACAGTGGTTCACTTCCTGTGTTCTTTCCACCAAAATCTCCCTAGCAATGGGAATGGCCCCAGGACAAAAGTCTTCTATTCAAATGCCACAGGATTTGGCCATCTTTTGGGCTGGAGATTGTGTCAAGTTCTGAGGAAACTTAGAGAGAAATAGCATAAGTTTCAGCCCTTTGGATAAATGTTTAGAATGTTGGGGAAATGGTCCAGTACAAAAAACAAGATGCATGCCAATCATGTAGGAGACGATTCAAGGCTGGACGGCTTTGTGTAGAACCACTCTAAGTGCTGTAGGTGTTGTAGGAGATGAGAGGGAGCCAAGAGCCGGCTCTGGAGTTATCTGGGAAGGTTGCCCTGAAGGAAATGTGCCTTAGACGGGGTTGGAAGCTGCATGTGTTCATTCTTCACTTGTGCTGGCGTGCACTTCTGTACGTGTCAAGACTGGAACTGTTTCTTACACTTGCTTCTGCATTTCCTCTGGGCTTGGGCCCTGGCTCCTGCACAGGCCTGTGGGGCTGGAGGGACATGGAGTCACATAGACCTGGCAAATTGCATGGTCCTCTAGACCTCAGCTTCCTTTTCTAGAAAATGGAAATGCCAAAATATCTACCTTATTTAACTCATACAAAGAGTCAAAGAGGTAGTATATAAAATATGCTTTAGTAAGACACCTCTTACTAAGGATGTTGGATTCTACCCCAATGGTCCCTGCCCATGGACTGGAATGGGGTCAAGGCTGGGTGGTCTTGCAGAGAGTCTTGTGCCCTGGGCAGTGGAGATCCACTTACCAAGCCTGTCGCTGCCAGAGCCCATGGGCTTTTCTGGGACCTGGTTCTCTTGGCCTCTTTGTGTCCCCACTCTTTGCAGCCAACAGGGATCCTTATGTGACTGATGCTAGTGAAGGCGTCATCCTCTGCCCTGCTCCTCAGATACCAGGAAAGCAGCAGCATCAATATCCAAGTGACCAACACAGCCACAGCTCTGGTCTCCACTCCCATTTCTGGAAGCTAAACCCTCAGATGTAGAACCCTCGTACTTTCAGGCTTTCAAATACTCAGTCCTTGTGAAACACTGACAATATCTGTTTTCATCATCCCCATCACAGAAAATGAAACTCACTTATTGAAAAGTCGCCTGCCAAGTGCAAGTACATCATCTGTGTTATTCATCACCGAAACCCTCGAGGCAAGGGTCATTAACCCCACTTTTGTAAATGAAAAATGGATACTGTGAAAGATTAAGTGACTCTCCCAAGTTCACATTGAAAGAAGTAGAACTGGGAGGCTCACTCTCTGATCTTCAAGTGTTACAACCATGATTGGGTCGATGGTGTGTCTGATTTGTAGTTCCAGAAATATGCTCACTCACATCCAGTCCTCGGGTAAGAAGATGAGCATGCTAAACAAACCCACAGATAAGACAAATGGATAAGTATTTTATTGTCGCTGCACATATATAATCCATTGCACATGCATCATTCCATCTGGGCACTTCCCACTGTGCCCACCCACAGATGTCTATTAGGGAAAACACACTATTAATAAGGCAGAAAATGTCCCCTAGACACTGAGCTGTGCTTTAATGTTTTTGAGTAGGAGAAGGTGTGAGGGGAGATTCTGAAATTCCCCAAACTGCAATTCCCTTGAAATTGGTTGTTCCAGAAGCGTTTTCAGACTCCTGCCTGCCTTTTGGTTTTCCTTCTGGCTGCCCACTTAAGAAATCACTTTATCATGCCTCCTTGTGACTGTATTTGCCCAAGGACTGAGTTCAAAGGTTCTTTTAAATTAAAAGGGTTTTAAAAGAACTTTATGAGCAACCAAACACTGGGGGACAGGGTGGGAGAGGTTTGAAGGCATCTGAGTTGTAGGCAACTAGTTTTACTCTGTGGCTAGAGATGTGGGTCATGGCCAGTGTCAGGGATGGACCCAGATAACCTTGCAGAGAATGTCATGACTAGTGTTACCTGTGACCCCTGAAGCATCATGGACGCAGCGTGGGTAGAGAACTCTCTGAGACAGGAAGCTGGGGATATTAACCCTTGGGTTGCTGCAGGATCCATCTCATTTCCAACCTCAACTATGTCATGGTAGCCTGGAATCAACCTCCAGACTCAGGAGGCAGCCTCTCTTGATGTGTCATCCTCAAAAAGATGAAAAAGGCTGATAATCTGCCACAATTTCTATTACCGGTGAGTGCAAGGGGAGACAGAATGGCAGAGTCTTAACAATGGCCAGCAAGTCAGAAGAGGGACTGTGATAGATGGGATTGTTGGCATCAATTCTTCATCCTTCCCTGGAGTCACACCTTGCCATGGCCTTGCCATGGGCAGAGTGCACTTCCTTGCCCCTTGACCAGAGGGCTCAGTCATGGGACTTGCTTTGGTCAACAAGATGTTAGCAGATGTGCTGCTAGTGGGGTCTTGAAATGTACTTGAGCAGCGGTGCCTGCCTTCTGCCACCTGTGTAAGAAAAGCACGCCCTACTGTGGAAACAGCCCAAGTGCCCATCAATTCAAGAATGGATTAATAAAATGTGGTATATGTATACCATGGAGTACTATTCAGCTCTAAGAAACAACGGTGATATAGCACATCTTATATTTTCCTGGTTAGAGCTGGAACCCATACTACTAAGTGAAGTATCCCAAGAATGGAAAAACAAGCACCAGATATATTCTCCAGCAAACTGGTATTAACTGAGTAGCACCTAAGTGGACACATAGGTACTACAGTAATAGAGTATTGGGGAGGGGGGGAAGGGGGGGCGGGTATATACATACATAACAAGTGATAGGCGCACCATCTGAGGGATGGTCATGCTGGAGACTCAGACTTGTGGGGGGAGGGGGGAAGGGCATTTATTGAAACTTTAAAATCTGTACCCCCATAATATGCCGAAATAAAAAAATATATATAAAAAAAAAAAAAAGAAAGAAAAGCACGCCCTAGCTAGCCTACTAGTTGCACAAGAAGAGTAAGAAATGTGTAGAGCTGAGCCACCCCAGTGCACCCATAGTGAAGCAAGGATGCTGGTGAGCTTGAAAGCTCCTGAGGGAGGTATAAATGCTTCCTGCCATTTGCCACTGATATTTTGTGGTGAGGAAATACATTTCTGTTGTTAAGCCACCCAGTCTGTGATACTGTATGTAGCCCTAGCAAGCTAATACGGTATCTAAAACTCCCAGCATAGAATCAGGTGTGATCCCATCAAATCGGTACTAATTGATCAATATTTATGTGCACATATAGTAGTAACATACATCGGGTGTCGGGCAGGTGGGAGAGGGGAGGAGGGGATGGGCATATTCGCATCTAATGGATGCAGTGCACACTGTCTAGGGGATGGGCTCTTGTAGCTCTGACTTGGGTGGGGCAAAGGCAATATATGTAACCTAAACATTTGTACCCCCATAATATTCTGAATAAAAAAGGAATTAAGTGTGATCTCTGCAAATGGAAGGGAGCACCCCCATCCTGCTCCCTGAGGTCTTTTCTCCTCCCTTTCTGCTTCTTGCCTCCCGTCTCTCTCACCTCTTCTATTTCTTTTCCTTCTTATTCCTTTGATTTACCCAAAATACATGGACCTCTAGCCTCTCAGCATGGTTTAGAGGCCATCTAATGAGTATTTATGCTCGTATAAAGGGTAACAGAAAGACTCTGGCATTTTCCCTGGGCTGGCCGGAGCCACACAAAAATAGCAATCAAGTGAGACCCTGAGCTGCTCCTGAGAGGGGACACCTCTTTTAGGATTATGAAGTTTATCTGAATTGGATATTGTAAGAATAGGGGCCTCAGAATTTCTAATTTCTCTTTTATATTTTCTACTTAACTAGGAAAACAAGGACCTGCTAAATAGGGAGATGCCTTGTCCTACTGCAGCCTATGGTGTCGAGGCTGAAATTCTGGCTTTGGGAGAGCCTTTGGTCCTTGTTAATTAAACCAATGCATCCCAAGGTAGCACGGGACTGGCAGGAGGTGACCCAGGATGCCAGCAGGAGAGGTGCCTGGGCCCATCTTGTAGCCGTTCCGAGGTAGTTAGAACAGTCTTTTGGCAATTGACTTCCCTTCCAGAAAAGACACTCTCCTCCACCAGGAAAAATGAGTGTAATCAGGTTGGCTGGCGAATGCGTTTTGAGATTTCCTGGCTGAGAGCTTCTGTGTAAACCTAGGGCACCGTTGTTTTCATACCTTGTTGCTGGGCCAGGAGAGAAGGGAAATGGGAAAGTGAAGCCAGAATGCCTCCTTGGCAGCTGGTCCCCAAACCTCTCAATCATGCCTGACATTGCAAAGACGCTCACAGACTGAGCAGTCTGGGAACAGGCGGGGCGGGAGGACCAGGTGTGCGAAGGAGAGAGGATGTGCACAGTGAAGGGGTTGGCAGGACAGGTGGGAGAACATCCACACCAAGGGGAAATGTCCAGCCGAGTTTCCTCTGCTTCTCTGGTGCTCTGTGTCTCCGCCTTTGAGATGAACAATTGGATCCTCCCATCATTCCAGAGCTCAGGTTTTAGAATTTCCAGAACTCTCCATGAGCAAGTATAGAGGGAGCCCCGGTCAGCCATCTGGAGAGGAAGAAAGAGTCAAAATGGGGTGAGGATAAGAGAGGAGATGAGAACAGGAGAGAAGGAGGGAAGAAAGAGACAGAGAGAGAAAGACGAGGAAAGAAATTCTGTTTTTCCAGAATCTGATTCCAACCTGGGGTCAGCAAAGGGCACTTTCCTGATGGAGGAGGTTTTGTTACCTTCCAGATTTGCTGGCACTGTCACACCTAACAGCAGGATGAGAACTGCTCTCAAAACGTCCCCTGACCTTTTCTGGTAATATGCAGTCCATGGTGTTATTAAGAGAATCAGCAAAGATAGCAGCTGAGCAGCTGGTGGCACCATTGCTTGGGGGCAGCAAGAAGTCTCAGCCCTGATCCTCTCTTCCTTTTTTATTTTCCCCATGATGAAAGAACAGCTTTGAGATGGGAAGACTCCTATATTGAGGTCCACAGGGCTCCCTGGCACGACATGAAAGACCCTTTTCTGTCTCTCATTCCTCAAGACGGGACTTCCAATAACGCTGCCGGCTTGTACAGACCGGCTGTCGGGAGGCTGCCTGTGTCAACTGCTTAATATGCAGAATGAAGAAGTCATAAAGTCAAGTGCCTGTAACGTTTAATGTGAATGATAAAGGAGGAAAAACACCCCGAGCAGAAGGCAGACCCGCGTGCCTCATTATGCCCGTGTGGCAGGGGCTGCACCTGGCACCGCAGCCAGGAGCACCCGCCATGTGGGCGCAGGTGCATGCGTGTCGGGGGCACACACTTGGGCATTCATGTGTTACACACACACACACACACACACACACACACACACCATCGCAGGTGCTAGCCGACAGCAGAATTGTAGCTGTGACCTTTGGGGACTGCACGATTGATGGCAGGTGACTCACAGGGCTGCATGAACTCCCCTGGGGAAAGCCACCTTCTCAGGACCCAGGAGAATCGTTGAAAAGAATCATAGAATTACCTATTTGCTTCTTCATTGTTCCAGAGTGCATAGAAGACTATGGAAGTGTGAAAGTTACAGTATTACCAATCAGCAATCCTCAACCACCAAATCCTGTTCTTCCTCTGACAGTGATTGTTTCAACGGACCTGCTACACCTGCAGCTTCTGGCTGGTGGCTTTGGCCCTGGTGTGGGCTGGAGCACACCTGCTCAGCCATCGTTACTGTCCTCACCAGGGGAGGGGAGCCAGAGTACCCCTGAATGCTATTTGTCTTCTTGTCAGAGAGATTGGCCTCTGTTCTCCAACAGGTGACACTTTTCTTGAGAAATCTGGAATGTGCCATCCTGGGCAGGGTCAGAGGATGTCACAGTGTGGTCGACACGACATCCCTAGTCTGTGGCCTAGGAACAGAACAGGTGCACTGGCCACAAGCAAGTTACCTGCTCATCTGGACGATGCTCTGTGAAAGGCTCATTCCCAGTGACCTGGGTTCCATCTATAACTACAAGAATATCTTCTCTTTCAAGGTCATAAACCACCTTCAGGCAAATGTAACTGCTGGTGACTTGTGCTGACGTGCCGGTGTCTCCTCAGTGACCATGCAAAAGAGCTCAGCTTCTCCTTGCCTCCCTACCTCCTTAGATTTTCTAGAAGGAAAAGCCACGGTTTTAGCTACTGTTAATGAAAATAGACTTTGTGACCTCCAAGGCAAACATTGGGAGAATAATCTCTTTGGGGACAGGACAACTAGACAGTCAGCTTTGCCTCTGATCACTGAATTTGACCTTCTCGGCGTGTCTCATTGATTGTGACGCGTCGCCATTGACAGCATTGTGACCTCAGCCGGGGGTGGGGGTGGGGAGGGGGCTGCACTTCCCTCTAGCTATCCAGAATACGCTGGACTCAACCCGTAATCCTTTATAGCACAGTTGCAGCCAGGCTGACACATTGATACAAGACTTTGCCAAAGGGTATGGGGAAAGCAAAAGGGACATGCACACGAAAAGCAATATGAATCCTGACAATTCAGTTTACAAGGGATGGCCCAATGCTGGGAAGTAATACTGTCTCATTACACAGGGAACTTAGGGAAAAAATGGTGCCCCAAGGAACTCTCACCTTTAAATCTACTGTTTTTCTTCCTCCGACTTCTACTCCAGATGAAGACACCAAAGGATCCAAACGTCTCAGTTTTGAGGAATGTGTGCTCATATCCCACCAGCATGTAGAATGCAAGACTGGCAGGAAATGCAGGGGGCAGCTAGGAGGGTGGTTTGCACACACAAGTGCTCATCAGAGTCACCTGAGAAGCTTCTTATAACTAGAGACACCTGGGTATTTTGATTCTGTCTTGTGAGGGCACTGAGAATGGTATTTTTAACAAGCCCCTTAGGTCATGTGCCTTTTTCCACTTCAAAGATCAGGAAACTAAGGCCCTAGATAGGACTTGTTCAAGGTAGCATAAATGTTTAGCAAGAAAGTCTTTTTTGTTGTTATTAGTATTTCTTCCCCTCCACTAATCTTGAACCTCCTTAACAGACCTTGCAGAACCCAAAAAAGAACAGGAAGCCTCAGATTCCAGTGGAAATTTCCCATTTGGCTTTATGCTAAAGACCCCATCTCCAAGATAAGAGAAGAGGATGCCTTCACCCTCAGGCACGAGGGTGAAGCAGCCAGTGCACCCACCTAGAAGGGATGTGCTCATGTCTCCTTAACCCTCGTTATTCAGACCCACTGGAATCCCAGCTGCTTCTAAGTATTTCAGTAAGTCTTTGCCTACTTCCAAGGGTCTTGGAACCCAGACTGTGGGAGTTGGGAGAATTGGGGCAAAACACAGGATTGGTGTTAAAGAACCTCAGTTCTGAGCCTAACTCTCTCCAATTTCTATAACGAATCATTTCCCCTTTCCATGCCCGGCCTTTTGTTAGCCATTAATAGGGCTGTGACTTGATACGAATGTGCACCAAGAGTTTTTTAGACACTGTCTAGTCGTAAGGATGGAGCAAGGTAGGGATGTCTGGGACTCCTTCCTGTATTGGTAAAAGCCATCTCGGCTTTCTCCTTTTTTTGTACATATACCTCTTCTCTTCCAGAAATTCCCTCATGGGGAAACCATCTCCAAACTTCAGTAGTGCAGGAACAAAGAGGGGAACAGGAAGGTGGGCATTGTGGCCTGCTCTGTGAAAGTCCATGGGCTGCTTTCTGATTCAGTAATGCACCAAGCATGGTCCTGTCTTAGAGCTGTAGAATGTGAAGTCTGGTGGGAGCATGTGGGGGCCATGTAGTGACCCTACCTCCCTGCTTCCCATGTCTGAAGCCCAGAAATGTGAGTCCTTACTCAATACCAGATCACCAGAACTCATTCTCTCTTCTCCCAACATTGGTTCCAATTCTCTTACTGTCTTCCGAGCCCACCCCATCTCTCCCCACTGTGAACCCATGCAACATTTCTATAATGCGCATGCAGCCACCATGGTCGTTACCTGCTTCATTTTTGTTTCTGTACCTCTTGTCCATCTGACTGTGCTGTCAGCAAGGCATAGATGAGAACTATCCTTTTGTGTGCCCACCGTGTGAAAGACTTCATGGAGTAGGTGTTTAGTAAAGACGTTTTAGCTTAAAGAAGGCAGTGATGATCATTTTCTTTTGGCAAAGAAGGAAAAATGTCGCAGCAAGCATGTGGCACATTGGGCGAAGTGTGCCTCTGTATCACTTAGTGAACTCAGCATGCACCTCCCCTCCCATCCCTGCCAGCCCCCTGGGGTTCCACTCTTCTCCCCATATTCTCCCTCGAAGCTCATCAGCCACCCTTCTGTCTCTCACTCTATCTTGGCCTCGTGTCTTGCTCCCCCCAACACTTGGAGGGTATCCCTCCTCCAGAATGTCATTCCTGGAGTTTGTGCTGGGCCACCAACCTGCGTCCTCAGCTGGGTCTCCTGCTTGGGCTGGCCTTCCCCACACCTGTGAATGCTATTGCAGTCATACTTATCTCTTCCTTTTCATCCCTGACTGCAATCTTTCTGACAAGAAGGAGCATTTATGTTGAAACAAGGATGCTAGGCACCAATGAGTCCTGGACATAAGAATGGAGTGGATGAACAGACAGAGGAGGATGTTTCTAGGAAGCCCGTGGAAGGATGGCCTCACCAAATGCTAAGCATTGTCTCTATCTCCCTGGTGTCTTTATACGCAGAGATTCTAGTTCTTTGCCTTGGCATTTGTCAGAATGTCCTATCTTGTTTCTCCCTTTGCTCTCTATTCACCCCCCCCCCTTCACATACATCCCTCGTCCTCACCCATGGACTCCTCGACACTTTTTCTCTTAACGATACAAATCACAGGCACAGATGTCAATTCCTAGGGGAGAAGAACAGAAATTATTATCCCCTAAAGAACCTGGCTCTATTTCCCCTGACTCATTTATATACTGATATGAAGACAGCCCTGGAGCTGTGTTCACCAGGAAATTTTGTTCAATTTCTCACCCTATAGCGGTCCTTTATCACTGCTAAATCTTACCTGTAGAGCAGCATAAAAATTTAGGTCTGTTTTCCTTTAAAACAACTTCTCACTTCCATTACCACCCAGGCAGTTCAAAGGAGACTGTGAAAGTTGGTTCTGGCCCGATGCCCCTCTGAACAGAGATGCTCACTGCATAGATTATGTGCATAAGCTGTCAAAGGCAAAGGCCGGTTGTCACCAAGAGATGTATCCAAGCAACCCTGGTGCTAAGCAACAGATTGGAACTCAGAGTGTCCTGGTCCACTCTGGTCAGAGCAAGCTGCTCAGAACTTGGCCTTGACTACAGGAAAAGCTTCATCTGCAGGGAGGAGGGACTGGAGGAAGAGAGGAGAGAGGAGGGGCAAGGGACAGCAGGAGGTAAAATGGAAGTAAAAAAGGGAGGTAGCAAAGGATGAGAATGAATAAATGACGGTTAGGTTCCAGCAACATTTCTGACTGGCATTAAAGCCAATATTTAAAGATTGGTCTGAGGTGTTTTTTTTGTTTTTTTTTTCAGAGTAAATGAAAAAAGTTAAGCGTTTCGAAACTTTTTTGGCCATGCTCTTTGGTAGGTGAATGCATCTCCCTGGCGTCAAAATATGCCCTCTCAAGAACCTTCATGACCTAGATCATCCATGGTCCAGGAGTTGGTGTCACCTTGCCTTCCAGTCTCCTCCTGCGGATCTAAAGCACAGGCATGCACTGGGGGGATGGATTGCTGGGAGAGGGGCCAGGCTGGAGATGTGGATGGAACAGCGTAGCAAGGAGTGGGGTAGAGGTTGAATAGGGACGTCAGACGAATGAGTCCAACCTGCTCCTCCATTCTGTGTCTTCAGCTGGTGAAAGGGCAGAGGCGGGGTCAGCCCTTATGGTCAGTACAAACCCCCTCCCCACTTCTACTCTCCTGAAAGTGTTCTTAGGAAAGAGGCCAGGAGCTGTCCTTCTCTCTGGGTGAGACGCCTTGGTGTTCAGATAGTCCAGCCAAGCCTATCTTGGATTATACAGACCAGGAAAACAGCTTGACAGCCACACAATCATTAGTCTGGAAAGGTTTCTGTGATAAGGCAGAATGGCTTGAGGCATGAGAATGCCAGGCAGCACCTGGCATATAAGCTTTCATCCCAGGGCCTCTTCCACCACTGACCCCACCCTGCCCACTCCTCTGCATGCTTTTCTCATGCACCATCTGTTCCAAACAAGCCTCCACCTCCCCCAGCACCGCCTCCATTGGCTGCAAGCCTTTGCCGCATGGCTGAGACCACATGCGCCACTTATCCCAGCCTCCGCTCCACACCAGTGGGATGATTGGATGTCATTTCAACAAGGCCCTGGAAGAAGGTTGTTAAGAGCTGTCATTTCCTTTTTCTAAACCTATTCATATCAGTTGTTGTCAACCATCAGAATCTCGTGGACTCACGGAGAGGTGTCTGAGCCCGGGGAACATTTGGCATATGGCGAGCATGAGTGCGCTTATGAGCTCTGCCTCATCCCTGATGGAGCTCTATCATCCACAGCCAAGCCTCCAAACTCAGTGATTTACAAACCCCAGGCTTTTTTGGTCTGTCTCCTCCCCAGGGTGATTCCCAAGCCCGGCTTTGCCTGGAAAGTACCAGGTGCGTTTGGTCTGGGGTTGATGAGATGTCTCTTTTTGTTTGGCTTTTAAAAGCCAGACAAGAAGAACACTGGGGACATCAAACACATTGTAGTTGCAGATGAAGAAATTATTCTGAAAAAAGCTAGATTAGCTTAGTTGTGTGTATGTGAGTGTATGTGAATGTATATGATATAGAAACTATTCAAAGGTAGGTTTCCAGGGATTTTGCAATGCACGTGTGTGTGTGCACACACAAACACACACATGCACACCAAAATACTGGCAGAGGATCAGACTTTTGGGAAAAATTATGTTATCTGAAACTCATGCAAACACTAAGATGACATGTTTCTTTCCTTCAGCAGAACCCTTATGTTTCAGTTTAATAGGCATTTGTTTTTGACCACACAATAACTGAATCCTCTTTATAGGAGGAATTCCCATATGGCAGGCTGAAAATTCTGATTTTTTTTTTCTCTTTTCATGGTGGAAATAAATTTAGGCAGCACCTAAAGTGAAGTGATAGACATTTAAGCCGAGTTGTCAAGAGCTGGGACCTCATCAGATGACCCAGAGACCTCAGCTAATTAGAAGATCATAGCGATTGCGTGTATCTAACAGGAAAGAGTTTTCCAGATGATAGGCAAATCCTTTCTTCTTAAAGTCACACATGTCTCCAGCATGGTCTGTTATTCTGCAGCTTTTAAGAAATCCAAAAAAGATTTTTCTGGACACTCCAACCTTTGTGAGAAATTCGAACCAGTAGAAGGAGGAGAGACTTCCCACCATAGGTAGTTATCTACGACATAAGGGTTGAAGTTCTACACCAAAGAAACAAGAGCAGTCAGGGTCATTCCCCATTTTCTGCTCCACCTGTAGCTTCTTCGTGTTTCTTATCCCTAATGTCTGAGTTAAGAGAGAGTTCAGCTGCTCCTGCCTGAGACCCCTGGACTTCCCAGCTGCCAGGTCCAAGTTCTGCTCCTTCGAAGGGCCTCACGTCTCCACCTATGCTGACCACGTTCCTGTAACAGCAAAAGGATGGGGGCCAAATTGCTGCAAATAGAAATGTTGGACGAAACCTCAAGCAACAAGTTAATCTGTTTGGCATCTTGTTATCTCTCTCCTCAGGGTAATACAGGAGGCTGTTAATTGCTTGATTTACTGTATAGTTCCTCTGCCAACTGCAGTAAATAAAGTTAATTAATATAAGGTAACTCACTGCCAGGGAGGCTCGTAATTACTAGGAAATTGAAGAGAAAATCTCTTCGTGAGACATTTAGAAGACAAAAATACAATTCACTAACATTCTTTAGTATCTATCATTTTTTTTCCTTAAATTTGCTTACTTTAAGCTTTCTGTTGAAATACCTTGGGTTCTACCACTTGCTTTCTTTTTATCATTCCTTTAAGATGGTTGCGTGTTTGTTTAAGAATGAATAACTGGAAGAGTATCTTTTTTCAACTCTCTCACTATCCATGGGAAGCTGAAATGGCTTTAGAGTATGTGGCCAACCTGACAGGGTTTCTGAGAATATCTTGCTATTGGAAGGGACCCACCAAGAGAAATAGGGCAAAAAAAAAAAAAAAAAGAGAAATAGGGCAGAATATCTTGCTCTGAACATCCAATCTTTTTTTTTTTTTTTTTTTTTTGCTTAATTTTCCTAAGCCAGAGCTTTCTTAGGACTTAGAAGTAGTGTGCTGTAATAGAAACAGAATGGTCTTTGGCATTAGATGCTTAGGCTTATACTTAATAGCTGAGAAAATTTTAAAATATTTCTTAAACATCTTAGACATTCAGTTTCCTAATCTCTAAAATACGAATGAAACCTTTGGCATAGAATTTATATTAGGATTAAATGTAAGAGTTGCTGGATAAATATTAGTTTCCATTCCTCCAGTCTATTCTTACATCTTTCCTTAAAAATTATACCAATTTTTTCTCTGTTTTCCTTCTTGGCTTGGATGCTGGATAGTTTCAAGCCGAATTTGTTTATCCCTTATAACAACGTGTATTCATATGTGCTAAGCACTTGTGACATGTTATCTTTGCTATTCTGATATTTCCTTTTTCCTACTTCTCTCATTTGAATATTTTAGATTTTATTTAATACTTTTTGGTGTGTGTATTTATAGAGTCACCTTAAATCCATATAATTTGCATAAACAACTCTCTTATATTTTCTGTGTACCTCCTCCTGCCATAATGTCATTTTTCTTTAAACCCACACCTATAGGCTCATGATCACTTAACTGAAGGGGGAAAATGTTCTTTAGTGTACATACGCCTTCGAGAAATAGTCTACTGTGGCCTTAGAACCCTAGTTAGAGGTGAGCTCTGATGGGCAATGAAGAAATGGAAATCTCCAAGGGATGACAAGAGGAAAGAGCCCCAAATGCATAGTGATAAGAACTCAAGAGTTCCTGGCCCTCAATTGCAATGATCAAGTAATACAATGAATCCTTACTGAGCATATATTATGCTATTGGTCAGATTCATGTAGGTATGGAAACTAAATGTCTTACGTTTTCCTCAAAAATACTCATTGTCCCTGCGCTACAGCTGAAGTTTTAGCAAGTGATTGATGCATCACAGATTGCCTTACCAAAAGCAACTTCAAATTTAGTTGTGCGTGAAAAAAATGGACTTCTATCTTTCAGAGAGGTTGGTGTAAGGAATATGGTTAGAGTATGGTTAGAGTAGTTGTCGCACAGAGGAGAAAAGATTGCCAGTCATTGGAAAGAGCTTTGGCTCTGCAAGCCATATATCTTATATTCTGTGGGTAGGCGTGTCTTAATTTGGGGATTATACCACATAGTTGTCATAAATAAAAGAAACAATCAAGCTATAGGATTTGAATTCAGTCATGTTCTCAGGGGGCTTAGGATTTTGGCTGGGGGACAAAATGACAATTAATGAACAAAACTGTTTTGTGTACAGTTAAGAGAGAGAGAATAGTACAGAAATAATGAATATACCACATACACTTACGTATGTTTAAATCTAGTATATATGTATCCATGATGTTTTGAAATATGTATGCATGTGAATCAAGCTAATTAACATGCATTGCCTCACATATTTTTCATTTATTTTTGGTTAAAACACATAACATCTATTATCTTAGCAGTTTTCAAATATATAGTACATTGTTATTAACTTTAGTCACCATGTTGTATGCTAGATCTCTTGAATATATTCCTTTCAACTGAAATTTTGACCAACATTATCCTTATACCCCTCTTCCAGCCCATGGTAACCACCATTCCACTCTCTACTTCTATGTGTTTGACTTGTTTAGATTCCACATATAAGTTAGATTAGGTTGTATTTGTTTTTCTGTGCTTGGCTTATTTCACTTAACACCCTCTGGTTTCATGTACATTGTGGCAACTGACAGGATTCCCTTCTTTTTAAAGGCTGAATGGTATTCTTTTGTGTGTATATATGCCACATTTCTTGATCCATTTATACATTAACAGGCACTTAAGTGGATTCCATGTCTTTCTATTGTAAAAAAATGCTGCAAAGAACAGAGGGGTGCATGTATCTCTTTGACATACTGACTTCCTTCCCTTTGGCTAAATACCCATAGGTATGATGTATCATATGGTAATTCTGTTTTTAATTTTTTAAGGAATCTCCATACTGTTTTCAATATTGGCTGTATTTATTAATTCACATTCTCACCAACAGTGTGCAAGGGGTCCCTCTTCTTCACGTTCTGATCAACACTAGCCAGCACACCTTGTTCTTGACTGCCTGAACTTCGAACATTGTCCTTGCTCTGCCTTGTCTTGGGCAGCGACTGCTTATCTACAGCTTGCATCTTTGTCTTTGGACAGTTTCATTCTGACCCGCTTCTGCCTTGAAATGTTTTCCCTCCTCCCATGTGCACCTGGTTCTTTTGGTGTTTTGCAGCACAAACCCAAATCTGGCGTAGAACCTTTGTATCTATTGAACTCTGCCTCATCCTTCTTTTTAAATATACCTTTCCCTTGTCTTTCTTTTCTTTCCCCTGGTGGATCTCAGCCAAACCACCTGCAGCAGTCACCTTGCCAGCCTGCCAAGACCCCTCCTGCTACAGTACTTTGTTTTTCTAGAGGAAGGGATGCTGTCCCTACGCTTCTGTGTATTAACACATCCACCTGGTAATTTGCATCTTCTAAAGTACAGGGTGGCCTCTGAACTAACTCATTAAGGCTGTCAGCTGCCTTGACCAGGTATTCATTCCTGGATCCTTTGGTGCTCCTTGCCAAATATTTATCTAGTCATGTTCATGTACTCAAAAGAGGGGAAGCTACCAGCTACCTGAGCCCCAGTAATTTCGAGATCACCTTTTATGTCAGTAAAACATACTCTGCCTCCACAATTAACAAAGCCAAATCCTTGAATTTCCATTTTGGCCAAATGCTATGATTTGGATTTGCACAATGGACCTCAATATTATCTCTGCTGTGTCTATTCACTTTCCAATTTCAGGCAGGATATCTCGTCTTACTCTCAGAGATCTAATACCACGAATCTCATTAAAGAAGTGATATCTCACAAAAGACAATACTCTCAGAAAGGTGTAGATATAATGTTGAGCAGCTGTCTTTGGCTTGAAATCTATGCAGCCTGCACACAATATCTTAGCTGCATTTTAGCTGCCTTTATCAACAGCTCTCAAGACATGAAATTACAGATACTTCTCCACATTGATGGTGTGAAATTCTACAACCACTTTAGTTGGTTGCTATACCAGTTTTAAGTGGTTCTGTTGTTGCTATAATAGTTTTTTTTTTTAACTGTTTAGCAGTACACACTAAATTTGAAAATATGCATTCTCATGCTTGAATGATTCTACTCTTAGGTATTGCATTATTTCCTGTGTCTGCTGTAAAAAATTACCTCTAACTTGATGGCTTAAAAACAACAGAAATTTATTGTCTCACGGTTTTAGAGGCCAGAAGTCAGAAATCAATATTCCAGGGCCAAAATCATAGAGACGGAGGGTCTTGTTCTCACCACAGACTTTAGGAGAAAATCAGTTACTTGACTTTTCCAGCTTCTCCAGGGTGCTGTCATTGCTTGACTCAAGGCAATATCTCTCCAATCTCTGCCTCCGTGGTTGCATGTTCTCCTCCTTTTCTGTCTTTGTCAAATCTCCCTATCTCTCTCTTATAAGGACACTTGTATGATTGACTGCATTTAGAGCATACCCAGATTATTTAGGATAATCTCCTCATTTTAAAATCCTTAACTTAATCACATCTGAAAAAACCCTTTTCTCAAAGATAATAACATTTACAAGTGGTATTATTTAGCCTGTTGCAGGCATATATTCAAAAAATATACATGCATATGCACATCTGGCTACACACACAAGAATATGTACAGCACATATTCATAATAGACCCAAACTTGGAAAACCCAAATACTCATCAGGAGTATAATAGATAAATAAGGTATATTCATATAGTGGAATATCACACAGCAATGAAATAA